GCAGCCATGCCGGCCAGCCGCGCCGCACGCACCTGTGCGCTGCTCGCCCTTTGCCTCCTGGGCAGCACGGCCCAGGATTTCGGGCCGACGCGCTTCATCTGCACCTCGGTGCCCGTGGACGCCGACATGTGCGCCGCGTCGGTGGCCACCGGCGGGGCCGGGGAGACCCGGAGTCGTGCTGCAGCTCCGCGAGACCGTGCTGCAGCAGAAAGAGACCATCCTGAGCCAGAAGGAGACCATCCGCGAGCTGACCACCAAGCTGGGCCGCTGCGAGAGCCAGAGCACACTGGACTCAGGCGCGGGCGAGGCCAGGACCAGCGGCGGCCGCAAGCAGCCCGGCTCGGGCAAGAACACCATGGGCGACCTGTCCCGGACACCGGCCGCCGAGACGCTCAGCCAACTCGGGCAAACTTTGCAGTCGCTCAAAACCCGCCTGGAGAACCTCGAGGTCCGCGCGTGTCACGGTTCCCTCTCCGGCTCGCGCGCCCCTAGGCTTTTCCCCACCCCAATTCGGCCCGGCACCCCCCACAGCGCGCGGATGCCGGGCCGCCACCTCCCCGCGCCTGCGGACGGCCCCTCGCTGAGTTCCCCGCCTGGCCGCCCCCACAGCCGCCCTAAGGGGATCGCGCCACGAGCCTCTCCGCACGGCCGCAGCTCGGCCAATAACCGTGTGGTTTCCCCCGCCTTTGCTCCCGCAGCAATACAGTCGCCTCAATTCCTCCAGCCAGACCAACAGCCTCAAGGATCTGCTGCAGAGCAAGATCGATGAGCTGGAAAGGCAGGTGCTGTCTCGGGTGAACACTCTGGAGGAGGGCAAGGGCGGCCCTAGGAACGACACGGAGGAGAGGGCGAAGATGGAGAGTGCTCTGACTTCCCTGCACCAGAGGATCAGCGAGCTGGAGAAAGGTAGGGGCTGGGAGGGGGCCATGTGCTCGCCTGGCTGAGTCCCCTACCTCCTTCCTGCCCAGCCCAGCTCCCTGCCTGCAAACCTGGGGCTCCCCCGTCAGGCTCTGGGCTCTCAGTCGGTGCTCACCCACCAGGTGCCCTGGGTTGGAGGACATCTCAGGGGAGGAAAGCAGAGCAGGCATTGCATGGTTCCTCAGAGACGCGCGCGCACACACACACACACAAAGACACACACTCGCTGGTTTTCCAAATGATTTGTTCAGCCTTCAGTAACTTTGCACAGTGGCTGTCACCAGCCCAAACCCTCCCGCTTAGAAAGCCTCTTGGGCAGTCCCCATGCCCAGCAGAAAGCTGTGGACAGGCTGGGTCTGAGTCCTTCCAGTCCCTGGCAGACTTCAGCTGCTGACAGATTTCTTCCAGGCTCCCTGGTGGCCCTGGTGTTCTCCTGGGATTTCTACCCTACCCCCTTTGCCTTGAGTCCCCCCCCACCCCAGTTTCCTCTTGTGAGTGACCCGAGCCCAGGCATTGTGCAGGCCCCTGAAGTTCCCCATCCCCAACTCAGACCGGCCTATTGTGCCCCTGCGCATGGCTGAGCTTCGGCAGCTGTCTTGAAGTCGCAGAAATCAAACAAGGTTGTAAAGGGGGGCTCCTGGGTGCGGAGCGGGGCACGTGACCCTACTTGGACCGCAAAATGTGCCTGCCGGGTTTAAACAGTGCCATCTTAAGGCGTGTTATGTAACTGAAAAGCAGATCAGGGAAGAAGGGACCTCAGGAGGGAGGGGAAGGAAGGAGAGAGCCGCAGGGACATGTAAGACACCCCAGGGGCTGGGTCTCCACCCTTCCACTGCGCTGCATGGGGAGGGGGCTGCTGCCCCAGCAGGAGGGGGCAGCCCCATGCCTCAACATCTGGCTTAGAGCCGGGTTGCCGTACCAGCAGGACACCTTCTAGAAAGGCCTGGGGGACTGGTGTGTTCCTGTGCTCCCTGCAGGACCGTGCGCCAGGAGCTGGCCGGGTGTATGAGCTCCCAGCTCTAGGCCTGGAACCAGTGGCATAGGTCAGGGCCGCAGCAACAGCCTGGTAGGGTGGGGGAAGGAAGGTCAGGCATTCACAGCCTGCAGGAGGGGAGCTGGTGGCCAGTGTGAGGAGGAGGCCTGCACTTCCAGGAGCACCCCGGAAGCTCACCTGAGGATATGGCACTGTCCCAGCCGTCACCTGCCATCCCAGCTCCAGGAGTGCTCCCTCTCCTGGCTGCACTGCCCTCTCTGAACAGCCTTGGAGGAGGGGAGAGATGGGGTACTGGAAACAGCCCAGGCTTCGGCAGGTGTCGCCTACGAGGGAGCAGGGCTCAGCGTCCACCAGCCTGAAGGGAGCGTGGTGGTCACCAGGAGCCTGAGTATTCAGGAGAGCCCCAGAGGGGTACTGTCTCTGTCCCAGAATCAGGTCGGCCCCCAGGGGGCTGCTCCAAAGGGAGCTAGCCTCATTCCTCCGTCCTCTGTAGCCACACTTTCTCACTGGCTTGACAGAGACCTGTTCCTACCCTGCCCGCGCACAGCCCAAGTGCAGGCTCACGGCCACCCTGTACTCCTCCTCCTCAGGGAGGTACTTTGAGGAGCAGGTGCTGGCCAGACCCGGGCGGGCGCAGAGCCCTGGGATCAGCTCCTCGTCAGACCGGCCCAGTGCCCTAGTGGGAGTGCTTGACCTCGGGGTATCACCCCTCTGCACCCAGAGCCTGCCCTGCATACATCGCAGCTTCAGCAGAACCGAACAGGTATCAGGCATTGTGGCACTTCATTGGGTCTGTGTCCCACGTCCCCAGGTCAGAAAGACAACCGCCCCGGGGACAAGTTCCAGCTCACGTTCCCGCTGCGCACCAACTACATGTACGCCAAGGTGAAGCGGAGCCTGCCTGAGATGTACGCCTTCACCGTGTGCATGTGGCTCAAGTCGAGTGCCGCGCCCGGCGTGGGCACGCCCTTCTCCTACGCCGTGCCCGGCCAGGCCAACGAGCTGGTCCTCATCGAGTGGGGCAACAACCCCATGGAGATCCTCATCAACGACAAGGTGCTGCCCCCGCTCCCGGCCGCCAGTGTTGGGGGCCACGAGGTCTCGGGTGCCGCTGGGCCCATCTGCCAGGCATGGCTCGAGGAGGAGGAGGGAGAGGCTGGGGACGCGGGGACTCTGAGGACGGAGAGAGCCAGCACTTTCCCAGACAGGCCTCTGGGGACGGGTGGGAGATGGCAAGAACAGCTCCTGGGGCCCCTGGCTGCCAGCCCTGACTTCCCTTGCACCAGCTGTCCTGGTACCAGTATGTGACCCTTGGGAGAGGGCCCCACTGGGCAGCACTTTCCACTCCATCAGCTCCGGCTTCTTCCTGGCTTCTAACTCCCTCGTCTCCTGCCGGTGTTGGTAGCTTCTGGCCAAAGCCTGGGCTGGGAATTGGGCCCCAGGCCCTGGCTCCTAAGGCCATGTCAGGAAGGGTTGTGCCTTTCTGGAAAGGGTGACCCCTTCTGGAATGGTGGGGGAAATGAGGCTCTCTCGGCTGTCCCAGAGCTTGGTGCCATCTCTAGTGGTGTCTCGGACTGCAGAGGCTGGCGCAGCGCGCCCCTGGGGCTGTCCCAGCTGGAAGAGAGGAAAGCTGTGGCCTGGAGACCCAGAGGCCCCCGTGAGCCCGGACTCCATCTGAGGGTCTGTGGACTAGCAAAGGGGGACGGGCAAGTGGGAGTGAGATCGTGTACCCAGCCGGTCCTAGGGGCCCCTCAGCCAAGCGCTTCGTTTCCTAAGCAGCTCTGTGGCCCCAGGCTGGGGCTGACACGTCCTGTGTGTGGAGAGGCAGGCTGCGAGAATGCGGGGCGGGGCTCACCGTTCTGTGTCCTCCCAGGTGGCCAAGCTGCCCTTTGTAATCAACGACGGGAAATGGCACCACATCTGTGTCGCCTGGACCACCCGGGACGGGGTCTGGGAAGCCTACCAGGACGGCACCCAGGGTGGCAGTGGCGAGAACCTGGCGCCCTACCACCCCATCAAGCCGCAGGGTGTACTGGTGCTGGGCCAGGAGCAGGTGCGGGCCTGGAGGGCCGAGGAGGGGGAGGGAGGCAGCAGGGTGGAGGTGGCCTCCCCTGACGCCACGCGGCAGTGGGGCAGGACCGTCCAGGAAAGGCAGTGGAGCGGGCTGTGCTCCGGCACTCTCAGTGACGCCCCGCTCCTCGCTCCAGCCAGGAAAGGCCGGTTTTGCTTAGTGATGAATTTAGCCCCGGTGAAGTGGTTCTCTTCCCTGGCACCTGGGGGAGAAGGCACCGGGAACCCAGGCCTTCTGCTCCTGGTGGGGATGCAGCTGGCAGTGGGGTCCGCATGGGCCCAGACTCTGCCACAGCCATGCCTGTGGCCCCGCAGACACCCAGACTGGCTGAGGTGCAGGGGGCCGGGTCCAGGCACCCTAGGCAGAAGCGGCCAGCGCTGTCGCTTTTCCTGGGCTCCCCTGGGGGAGGAGGGACGGAATGGTACCCAGAGGTGCGAGTGAGAGCCCCTGATGGGAGAGACAGATTCCCAACCAGGACCCCCCGCTCACCCTGACGGCCTCTCCACTCGCACCTCTTTCCTCCAAAGGACACTCTGGGCGGCGGGTTCGATGCCACCCAAGCGTTTGTGGGCGAGCTGGCGCATTTCAACATCTGGGACCGCAAGCTGACGCCCGGGGAGGTGTACAACCTGGCCACCTGCAGCACCAAGGCCCTCTCTGGCAACGTCATCGCCTGGGCCGAGAATCACATCGAGATCTACGGGGGGGCCACCAAGTGGACATTCGAGGCCTGTCGCCAGATCAACTGACAGGTGGGCCCGGCCGTGCCCCGGCCTGGCCTGCGGCCTCGCTTGCACAGTGATGACCCGTTGTCTCCTCTCGCCCTCCCCCAGGAATGAGCCACGGCCACCCCTGCACACGCACACGCACAGCCTGGTCTTGTCCTTGTCATGCACATGAAGCAGTCCCGGCTCTCCTCTGCCCCTGAGGACACCCCACTTCTCTGCGGGCACCCCTGGCTGTGCAGAAGGCAGTGAGAATGTGTTGTCTGTGTGTCTGAGTGCGGTGTGTGTGACTGCATGGTTTCATTTCCTTCTTCCCCTGTGGCCTAGGAAGGCTTGTGTTGGGTCAGAACTGTGAGCCCACGTGGTCAGCTGTGTGCCTTGGCTGGTGCGGCCTCTGGCACACGTACTTGTCGGCATTTGCGCCCCCCGGGGTGCCCTCCCTGGGCTGCCCCTCGTCACTGTGTTGGTGTAGTAGGTGTCTCCTAGTGGCTTGTTGAAGGCTGGGAAGGCCTCTCCCTGCGAGTTTCCTAGCGTTGGGAACCAGTTCTCTGCTGGCCGCAGGCTGACAGGCCTGAGAGGCCGCCGTGCCCCAGGGTGGTGCCTTTCCCCTCAGTCCCCCCACTTCCATTGTTCTGTGAGGCAAGACTCCCCTCCCTTGAGCAGCCAGAGCTGTGCTGCTCGGCTGGAGGGCCCACCGCAGCCTGGCGCCCTGCCCCTAGGCCCCGGCAATGGGAGGCCAGAGGCTCAAGAAGGGCCCTCCTAGACGGGGAACCACATTCGGACTAAGACCCCACCATGGACAGCCAGTTGTCGCAAGGTCTCCCCAAGGTGCTCTGGACAGCCATATCCCTCCCAGAGCCCTAGGTCGGCAAGCCAGGCTAGCCAGTCAGGGGCCGGGAACCCATGCCTCCGTCGCAGGGCTCGAGTCTTACAGCCCGCCCCCCCACCTGCCACTGGCCAGTGACACTGAGACCTGTGACTTCTGGCCAGCACCCAGATCTTTGGCTTTTGATCTGGGTGAAGGGCAACGTGAACATTTCCACCTCGCCCTTCCGAGGAGGGGAGAAGCGTGTGTGTGCGTGTGCATGTGTGTATGTGTGTGCTCACATGTGTGCAGTGAGAGAACACAGAAGGGTCATGCCCAGGGCAGGGCGAGCCCCCCGGCTTAACTGTATCATCTGGTGTGGCCACAGGCCCCCAGAGCACCCTGGACTCTGTCTCCGGGAGTCCAGTCAGCAAAGGCCAGCAGGTCTTCCTAGAAACTGGCCAGCACTGCCTGGCTCAGCTGCACTGCAGACATTTCTTCGGGAGCAGGTGCTCCATGCTGTTCCCCCCAGGGCCACCTGTCCCCTTAAACGCAGGTCCGTGTTGTGTCGGAACCCTAGTGCATCTGTGTGTCCCTGTGTCGGTGTCCCCGTGGGCGTCTGCACGGTCCCAGTCGCTGTTCTGCACTGCATCGCTCTCGGGAGGGTGCAGATCAGGCGCCGCTGCGTCGTCGTCCACAGTGGCTTTCTCGTAGGTGATTGTGCTTCCTCGGCGCGTCGGGTTGTGGCTCCCTTGGATCCGCAAGGATCTTCTGTTTGCATGACCCCGGCGGGAACGTGCTTCCTCCCCTCAGTCCGATGTGTCCCTTGCCTGCATGGGCTTCTCCGGTTCCGTGTTGTGTGCTGAGTGCCACCCGGTGTTCTGTGACCACCCACGTAGCTACCGAAAATGGCTGGCAAGTGAGCTGAGGGTGTCGGAGGGGGTCGAGAGAGACAGGCTTCCCTCTCCTCCTCTCCACTCCCCACACACACCAAGAGGTGTCTCGAGCATGTAGGTTGAGAACAGCCTGACAATACCCACAGCTGAGAGAGAGCGAGACAGCTCAGATCGCCTCTGGACCAGGTCCAGCCCTGCGTCACCCCAGCCATCGGAGCAGTTGCGAAGGCACCCAGGGCGGGCTGCGTGGGCATTCTCAGTCAGCACCGTCCGCCAGCCCCCACCCCCGCCTCACCCAGCCCAGGCCACCTGCCCAGAGTGGGTGCACTGGGAGCTGTCCATTCAGGACCACAAGCCATCCTCTGCCCTAGCCAGACAGGGCAGAGCACACCCCGGATGCTGGCGCCTGCGTCCCTCTGGCCTCGGCCTTCCCTTCCCGGCTCCTGACGCCCGCCCGTGGTGCCAGGGACAGAAGCTGCCACTGAGCTCCCGCCGCGAGGGGAGTGCGTGCCAAGCCCCTCAACTTCCTCACTGTGTTACCACTTGGCACTTTGCTGGCCCCAGGCCCCAGGAAGGTAGATGACACAGCCGCCCACCGAATCCCGTAGTTCCCATCGACTCCTTAATCTGATGGCCGTCCCCTCTGCACTGAATTATACATGCCTCTCTCAGGTAAGCCATTTTATAAAACAAGAAGAGAAAACGGCGCTGTCTCCACAGTGCTCGCTCCTGCGAGCTGGCGGCTGGCAGCTCCCTGGTGTCGGGGCGCGAGAGCGCTCCAGCCCTCGGGGTCAGATCCCACTTGAATCGTAAGCCTTCTTGCTTTTGATAACTCAGTATTATTTCTCTTACTGTAGAAGAAAAAGTTTATTACCAAACGAGTATTTTTATGAAAGCAAAGGACAAACCTATAAATTAACTCACCCTAGATGTCCCTCGAAAATACTTTCAGGCCCCACCCAAACGTAGGACTGAAAGCATGTATTTTGGAAGAAAGATACATTTTGTATGCTTCCTTTTCCTTTTGTAGATGCCCAGTTTACTTTCTAAGACTGCAATGATCTCTGTCACCAGCCCTGGGACCTGAGACCAAGGGGGTGTCTTGTGGGTGGTGAGTGGGGGAGAGGCTGGCGTGAGGCGCGCAGTTGTCCCCACGGGCTTCGGAGGCAGGTTGGGGACCAGGATGCGGAAGCGGCCGTCACGTTGAGCCCTTGGTCCCGGAGCAGGCTTCCTGATGGGATGAGTCAGGACTTGGATATCAGCTCCAACCTTGACAGAAGCTGTTAGGGTGACCCTTCGCTAAGGTTAAGAGGCTCGAATCCTCGCAGGCCTGGGCCCGAAGCACTTGTGGCTGAGCAGTGTGCGAGTTTACTCAGCTCACGCTGGGACGTGTGCCGCTTCCGTGCGCAGTGGACGGACGTGCAGTTGTTAAAGGGGCAGGTCACGAGGAGGAAAACAAAGCCCAACACTTAGAGTCCCGATTTTGTCGTAGTTGCCAAAACAAGGGAAAAAAGAAGCAAACCCCTCGAGGTCGAAACCGCTACTGTGTACATAGTGTATAATACGGAGAGGATCGGTGTATCTTACTTTTTCATTATTTGCTAACCAAAGCTGTACATTTTTCATATGATTCTGCAGCCTTTTTGGTATCAAATGGGTCAAAACCATGGGACCTGCCACCTCCCATCAGCAATTCTGGAAATGCACTATTTCTACTGGTATTCTTGCTTTCTCTCTCCTTTTTTTCATTTTCTTGCTGAAACGACATGAATTGTGGAGTTTATTTTTACACAGTAAAGAGTGAAGAAAGACTGTGGTCTCCTCGAACGTCTCAGCGCGGTCAGTGCCTCCACAGCTGCCCGGCCACGTCCCCCTCCCCCTCCCTCTCCGGGCAGGGCCCCTGAGACCTCACCTGGGGACCCTGCCTGTGTTTGCATTGCAGTGTCTCTCCACAGCCCCACGACCATCTGGCGACACTGGGACATCGGGATGGGGGCGGGGGCAGGCGCTAAGGCAGAGAGAGGCAAAGCGATTTCCCACATCAGCCTGGCTGCATGGGGTCCTGGTGTCCCTCCCCTCCCCCAGCCGCGCGCCCTCGGGTCACTGCTCAGGACTACTCACAGCTGGGCACAGGCCCGGACAGCTGGGCTGAGATCCCCAAGCAGCCCTGTTCTCCCCACATCCTGCTGCTAGGCCTTTAGCCCACACCTGGGGACCTCCCCACTTCTGGAGTTCCCAAGCCCCTTCCCTGAACTCAAGCCACAGCTCCGTAAAACACGGAACGGGGCCTTGGGGGCTGCAGGGGCCCGGCACTGGGAAGAGCTTACCTCCCCCGCCCCTCGAGGACCGAGCTTGACTCCAGTGTGTGTAGTGTTGGGAGCGCAGTGACCAGGGCCCAGGTGGCCCAGTGCTGGTGACAACAGGACACTCCCAACCTGAGGTCAGGGCCCAGGAGAGCGCACGAGCAGCACTGGCAGCACTGGCACCCTGCGTTAGCTCAGGGGTCTCCAGCCCAGTGCACCGGTGTTCCCCGCCAGGGGCGCACTCGTGCTGGGGGCTATGAGCAAGCTGCCCCTTGCCTGAAGTGGTGCTGAGGGCTGGGCTTGGCCTTGGGGCAGGGGAAGGTGGCCCTCCTTGTTGGGGTCAGGAAAGAGGCCCTGGTGGCCTGGCCCCCCACCTCAGAGCCGCCGCGGGTCGGTGCTCTCCCATGGGGCACGCTCATGGCTGGGCCCGGCGCCACGCCCGGGTCCCCCAGCCCAGCCGCCGCACCGCCTAGTACCTCCCACTCCAGGAAGTGCAGTCACGTCTGTGGTAACAGCGTGTGAGCACTCATTCAAGAACTCGGGTATTTTGACTATCATTAGAAACAAATTACTTTCCACACTCTCACACCTGATCTTAGCACGGCAGTGAACGACTTCGGGGGAACATGGGGCTCAGGACGGCGCTCGGGAGGAAGCCGCCAGGCCTTGCAGCTGCGCTGGCTTTTGGGGAAGTCTGGGCGGAGGGACACAGGCTCTGGGTTTCGAGGCCGAAGAGTGTCTTGTGAGTCACTGACCCCAGCGGCCCACGGCATGGGCGAGGCTGTTCTCAGCTCGCACACTCCCTGTGTGGGGACTTGCTACTGCAGCGACGGCCCCATCTTGCTCCGACAGTGTTGTGCTCGGTTCGTTGTGTGGAGCTGCAGCTGCCACCCGTCTCCCCAGGTGTCCGTGCACCTGCAGCCAGCCACCATGGCTCCTGGGTCCTCACTGCCCTGCCCCACTCCGCCGGCCTCGTCCCCTGTGCACACCCTGGCTCTGCCCTTGGAGGGGAGGAGGCTGTGGGTCTGGGCCTGCAGGAGGTCTGGGCTGGAGCCTTGGTGACCAGCCCACTTCCCCTGTGAGGGGCTGGAGGCCCAGAGCGCCTTGTCCAGCTGGAATCCAAACCTGGGGTTC